AATAAACGGCACGAAGTTATCCATTGACCCATTCTTGACAATTTGGGCGCTATTAGCATACGAACAATGTATATTGTTTACTTATTTCCCAGCAGTCAATTTTCATCATAGTTAAATACCATGGTTTCATACTCCCGGTTTCAGGCCATGCTTGTTGTGCAAGATCTATCAAGACATGGACTTCAGCTCGACCTTAGATCCTTTTTCGCCCTTCGAACTGCCGAAAAAATTGCTGTTACGCTAGAACATCTTCGAACAAAGAAGGACAGCTTCAAGCTTAAGAGTACTTTTAATTATGAAATTCCACTTCTACCACAGCAGAAGAGGCTGTGGTTTCTCGCTCGTTTGCATCCAAATAGGGATTCGTACATAATCCGTCTTTTGGTGGACATAGAAGGACAATTGGACTTAAAGCGTTTCAATGTTGCGCTCCATAGGGTGCTCATGTCCAACCCGGCAGTCAGATCAATTATTAAGAATGGTAAAGAACCTGTGTTTAGTAGACAATCCGGAACAGAGTGTTTCCACGATTTGAGTCAAGATGATGTCGAAAACCCATCAATAAATGACAATTCGCTGATAACTGCCCGACTGCGCAAATGCAGCAGTAGTTTCGAATTTGATCTCAGAATACATCATCTCATAAGTGATGGAAGAAGTCTAGCTGTACTTGGTGAAGAAATAGCGAATGCCTATAACGGCGGACAGACAAAGAAGGAAGACCCCACGTTCTTCGAAAACTCAGCACATAATGACGTTCTGGACTTCTGGAAAAAGTACTTGAGTGGATACGAACCGTGCTCTGTTGATGGGAATCGAATTTGTGGAGTTGTCGAAGGTGAAGCTGGTTACGTCACTGCAAATCTCAGCTTTATTGAAAATTTACGCGTTCAAGAATTCTGTAGTACACATCAGTGCACTCTTTACCATTTACTAGTCATGGCGTATGTCCAGACAATTCGTATGACATATGACAAGGAGGATGTTATTGTGGGGACCACAGTTGCTAACCGAACAGCGGAAAACATAAACACCGTAGGACTTTTTGCAAATACAATTCCGCTACGATTTAGTAAGGAATTTATCGATTTCAAAGAACAGTTGGCGTATACAGTAGAACAGATCTTGTCAGCAATGGAATACCAAACCACCCCGTTAGCAAAAATTATCGAAGAAATGGTGAGGGAGCGCGATGTAGAGAGTGCACCACTATTTCAGCAGGTTATCACATTTGAAAGCACTTCAATAAATGAGCTACCAAAGATGGAGGGGCTTACTACCAAATGCAGAACCACGAAAACTTTCTATACTCAGTTTGATCAAAGCTGGATTTTCCATCCAGGTGAAGGGCTTAGTCTTACTGTACAGTACGACAAGAGCCGCTTTTCATTGCAGCATATGACAACCCTTGTAAATCGATTCAAATGCACGCTGAAATGCTTCTTTGTAGAGGTAAATTCCTACCATTTAAGTGCATTGATGCCGAAGAATTTGAACAGTGATACACCCATAGGTGTGAGCTTAGGTTTAGCCTTTGCTAATCAATGCGCTATGA